ATCAATGAATTTACTTTTTTATTTTATTTTATTTTAGATTGCAATACCAGATATTTGACTGTTTAAATTTCTAAGACTAAGAATTGTGGATCGGGGATTTCACCCATAAAAAACGGCAGAGTGCTAAAATAAATTGCTTAATGTTAAAAAATTAACCAGAATTACTGCCAGTAATGCTTTAACATATGAATCATTTTCTTTTCCCAAACTTGAATAGACAAGGGCAATGAACAAGGCTATCTCATTGCCAATTATTTAATTAAGTAAAACAATAATAATTTTCTTTTACTAAATGTAAGAGATTTTAATGTTGAGTTATATGGTATGTAGATAGTCTCACTATACAACTTAAGATTAAAAAAAAAAAGGTTTATCTCATTATAAATATATATATAACTTGAAGGGTTGAATACACTTATAATTAGTGAGATTTTGTAAATTAAATTAGATTATTTAGGTCAACACTCAATAAAATTAATTTATTTTAAATATTTTAAATTGATATGAAGTGTGCTATTAAAATTTTTTATAAAAATTAACCATAAAATATTTAAGAGTAAATTAAAAATAAATAAAATATTAGTTTAGGTATTAGGAAATTTCTCTGTAAAATATATAGACGTGGGACGGTGAGGCAGACTTCTTGTCCTTGATCCTGCCGCTCTTCATGGGAGTTGCCGTTGATTCCCTCACGACTGTTGACACATAATATGAAATAGCAGAAGACTAAAAAGGATAATTCTGAAGTTTGATTTCACTTTTTTTTTAGATTTAAAATTTGTCAAGATACAACAAAATTTAAAATTCTTTTAAAATTAAATGTAAAATTTTAATTTTGCACAAAAATTTATATTACTTAAAAAGTTACTATTTATAAAGATATATCCTTAAAAAAAGCATTATTTTGAATACCTAAAAATAATAAAAAAATGATGTTATGAAAGTCAAGGCTTAAGTTGTCTCAAGTGCCCATTTTTTACTATATATATAAGGGCAAGGGTCCAACTTGCTTTGAGTTTTATTTTACTTATTTATTTGTTGATAAAAAATATATTTTTATAAATTATTTTAAGATCCTATACTTTCTAAACGTAGGATGTTACATTTGCAACCATTCAACAACGACTTTCTAGATGTGGGATGTTACAATTGCAACCATTCAACAACGACTCTACCTCTAGTATGGATAATTAACGAATTAAGGCACACCGTCCCACTTTTCCTTTAATTCTTTGGCTTAATTGTAACTTAATGCTTAAGGAAGGCCGGCTTTAGGCCATTCTTATTTCCTAAATAAATTATGACATTTAAAATATTAAAAATTAATATATCTCAATTTTTACTTTTCTCAAATTATATTGGCTTGCAATAAGAAAAAAAAAAAACTACAATTATAACATCCGGTATTTTTACGTAGAAAGCAAAGAAAATAAAAAATATTTTCCCCTTAAGTATCAGTAATTTTGCCATATCTATTATAATATAATAAATGCTCTGTGTCTTTAAGCCTTTGTAATTTCATCTTCATTGCATGCATCTCCAGATTTAGCTGGAGTTGCAATGGGACCTTACTCTTCTTCTTCCCTTGTGTCCGTGGCAGCACATGGTAACCGTATGGGTCTTGCAGTGAGTCTTTAATAGATTTCAAGCAATTGATATCAAAGACGCGGCCGATGCTTACAGGGCTTAACAATGACCAAATCAAAGCTTGGAGTAATACCAAGATGGAAGGCATTTGCAAGTATGAATGTGCGGTAGACAAAGAAATAGAGATGGAACTCAGGGGCATCTAAGGGACAACAGATACAGATAATCCAAGGAAAATTAGATTAATCCTTAAAGCTCCTTAGGATAGACAAGAAACTTATGTGAAGAGCAACGACAGAATGAGACCAGATAGATATAAGCAATGGTGTTAAAGTGAGAGAATCTCATGTTGAAAAAATTAATTTAAGAAATAATGTGATTTAAATAAAATAGTGTTAGATGTAAATATTATGTTGAAAGTTTAATGTTTAATTTTTTGTTTTTATAGACAAATTTAGATCAATCCTATAATAAGATTCACCTAATAAGACTTGAAATCAGTATCATATTAAAATTTTCACGCGGAAAAAGTGAAAAATTCCAATCAATAAACAACAAAGACTAGTATCAAAATTTCTTCTTACCAGCGCATTTTAGGAAGCTACGCTATAATAGATCTGGGACAATGAGTTACTTTTCAATTGATCCTGCCTTAATTTATGGGGTTGACTCTATATCCATTATTTTATTTTTTTTTCATGAAATTTAGTCTTTTTCCAACTTATTTTACTATTATGATTATTAATTTTACTGTCAAATATTTTATGGCCCTATAACTAGTTCCATCTTAATTTGAATTTTATTATATTTTTCTTACATGTTAGATGATATATTATAAAATAAAAGATGGTGTTTCTTTATTTGAATTTTTTCTAACCATCTCAAGTTTTTAACTTGACTTTTTTTTTTTTTAATGCAGGACAGTAGGGGGGTAACATGTAAAATGGAAACTTACAATTATTTCTGAACTTCAGCTGACTCAAAAAATAAAAAATGGGACTGGGATTATATTTTTGTTCTTAAAACATGAACTTATGAGTCTTTGCTTGACAATAAAAAAAAACAGGCTCGTAGACAATTATAGAACATCTGCTGCTCTTACGCAGAGAGCAAAGAAAATCAATATTTTCCTTTTGAGTACTGATAATATTGCTCAGTAATAATAGATGTGGGAGAATGAGGTATACTTGTTGTCCATTGACTTTGTCGTTCTTTATGGGGTTGATTCCCCCATCCCTTTTTGTTGATTTTCCTTTTTCGTGTTGTTTCCATGAAATTTACTCATTTTTTCCGACGCATCTTGTTTCTTTAGACGGTCAAATGTTCATTTATTTAGATGAGCAATATCTTTGTTGTCTTACATGCCCCTAATTTCCATATCTCTATTTCTCCTTTGAAAATGGCTTCTTTGGCAAGGCTTACCACGATGTTTCTCCACGATTTGATTTGGTCATTGCTGACCACTTCAAGTGGTGGCCTTGTCTCAGATATCAATTGCTTGAAATCTATAAAAGACTCCCTGGATGATCCATACGATTATCTTAAAGTTTCATGGAACTTCAACAACAATACAAAGGGCTTCATTTGCTGGTTTACAGGGGTAGAATACTGGCACTATGGTGAAAACAAAGTGCTGAACATTCAACTATCCAACATGAGTCTGAGGGGCCAGTTTCCACTAGGAATAAGTGATTGCTCTGGTTTAACGGGGCTAGACCTTTCAAACAATGAGTTTTCTAGACCAATTACATCTGATATATCAAGTATATCCTCTTATTTAACTACACTTAAACTCTGTTCTAACAAATTCTCAGGTGAAATCCCGAAGGGTTTAAGCCAATACTAGTTTTCTGAACGTTCTTAATCTTGACCACAATCAACTAAAAGGTCGTATCCCACCAGAAAATTGGCCTGTTTTCTCGAATTAAGACTTTTACTGTTGCTGATAATTTGTTATATGGTCCGGTGCGTAATTTTTCATATGATTTTTCAAGTGATAACTTTGCTAATAAACCGGCGCTTTGTGGAAAACCTTTAGACCCCTGCAAGAGTATGTCAAAACCAAGTCATAATATCAGAAATCGTTTCCTTGTTGGTTTCGTGGTGTCTGCTGTTTTAGTTATCACTGTTTTCATCTCCTGTTATATGGTCTGGACACAAAGAAAGAAGAGGAGTAACAAAAGAAAGCAAGCTCAACAGACGGTGGAAATGCCACATGTGGAGCTTTTACATGAAGAAAGCAAAGAGGTATACTCTTTTACTCTAGCAGATATCTCACTTCAGTTTTGATGTTCCAGCATGGTTTTTTAGTAGTAATATTGGAATTTGGAACTTAACAGTCTTCTATCTTGGGGAAACTGGTTTCAAGACTGAATTATACAGAAATCAGTGAAGCAACGAAAAATTTTAGTAAAGAAAATGTCATTGGAAATGGAAGAATGGAGACAACCTACAAGGCAGTGTTGCCCAGCGGCTGGCTCCTTGCAGTTAAGAGATTACATGATACTTGCCTATTTGATGAGCATTTCATAACAGAATTGAAGACATTGGGTAGATTGAGGCATGAGAACCTGTTGCCCCTCCTGGGATTCTGCATACGGTCAAAGGTGAGGCTTCTGGTTTACAAATACATGTCAAAAGGAAGTCTTTATGATTGGCTACATCCTGAAGAAGGTGAGGCAAGAATCATGGAGTGACCCTTGAGGGTCAAAATTGCAACTGGGGCAGCAAGGGGATTGGTTTGGCTCCATCGCGAGTGTAACTTTCGTGTTGCCCATCTAACATTAGCTCCAAATGCATCTTACTTGACGAGAATTTCAAGCCAGTGTTATCAAACTTTAGAGAGGCAATGCTTTTGAAACCAAATGGCACCGATTCAACCAAAAGCTTCACGGTTAATAGTGAGTTTTTGGAGTCAAGCTTTGTCAAGGAGGATGTCTATTGCTTTGGAATTTTGCTTCTTGAGCTGATAACCGGAGAGAATCCTAGAAGCATGACAACATTGCCAAACACTGGCAATGAAACACTCAACGAATGGGTTGCACATCTGTCTGCAAGCTCCAACTTCTATAGCATTGTCCATAAATCTCTGATTAGGCAAGAATTTGATCAAGAAATCTTTCAGCTTCTTAGAGTTGCATTGAAGTGTGTTCAGCCATATCCAGATCAAAGGCCAACAATGCTTCAACTGTACAAAACACTAGGTGCCATTGGTAAGAGACATGGCCTCTCAACTGGCTCTGAGGTATTCGCAGGCACTGGAGAAACTTCTGCACTCAGAATAGATGAATGCAATGAGGATGAAATCAGAGAGCTTTAAAATATCCATCGTAGCATGTTTGATGTGAAATTAAGGAAGATGAATACAATGAAGATGTTATTGTGGAGGTTTAACAAAACCGAATATCTATGGTACTATGAATCTATGATTGATAAGGCATTATTACAAGTATTCAAAGCATTTTCTTTGCTGTGCATGAGTAGCAGATGTAATCAAGTCTCTTAAGAATCTATTTTCTTGTTGGCAAGGCTCCTAGTTCATGTTTTTAGAACAAAAATATAATCAAATTCTTGAATTGTAATCCTACAAAACAAAAATACAATCAAACACAAAAAAGGAAGCCTTTAACTTTAACAAGCTATCTTTCCAAAAGAACTACATTATATATAATTGGTAAATCCAAGACAACTTGAAACTTTGATCAAAGCAAAGATGGATATCTATACCAATAAACTTAAATCATAAAATACTATAATCATCAACAATAAGGTACCCAAAAACTGCAACTGAATTTGTTCATCGGGCATTAACAACTCAAGGAGAGGAGACCAGCCTCGATTTTTCAAGAAATTGACTTCAGAGCAGGGTAGGTACTTTCCTGTAATTTTTTTTTGCTTTTAATAAAATGGATTAGCAAAATTGAGCTGAACAAAGATGTCGATGAAACAAATAATAGATCATAATCAAAATCCAAAAACATAATTATAGAAAAAAACATACCTTTAAAAATGAAGTCTTGTAGATATCATACATGAGCAGCAAATTCATAAACACTAGAAGTGTTACTGAGACCTGAAATAGAATCGCTTCCTTTTTCAAAATATTGATCTAGCATTGAAACTAAAAATCATTAATCCATTAATCACACATAACATAAGCTAGAAAGTAAGAATACATACTTAGATGAACTTCTAGGTAGAGGCTAAGACCTCAACTTCATCTACTTGATCACATTTGTGCCTTGGTAAAAATCTCTATATTTTCCCATCAGTTCAGACAGATCCACTGAAGAAATAGAGACTCCATTTTCAGAATCAAATGGATTAAAAAAACAAATTTATAGTGAACAAATGGTTTTTTCTTCTTAGAAACAATTTTAAAGACTCACCAATGAACTCTGAGTGGCATTTGATAAGATCATACCATTGCATGGTAAGAGAAAAAAGAACATCTTTGCAATTGGTATATACTGCAGGAACATATGTTTGAAGACATTATCTTGGCATGTTTTTTCTGTTTGGTTGCGTATCCCAAATCAATCCACCAGAGAAAAAAGAACTGAAATATCATCTTCACACTCTGTCTTCTACACCATATCAAGACTAATCAGCCCAAGCATTGAAAATTGAGATTTGTATACCAAAAACCTACTATTCTATCAAGGGCAGGAAGAAGTCAAACCTCGACAAACTTCGGCTCTTAGACCTTGACACTTGACAGAGAAGTCAATATCTTTTCTGAGTAACTTGACTACATTTATAATCCCATGCAACTTGAAACCTTATTAGGCAATGACAGATATGTACACCAGTCAACTTGCACCTCAGATCTTGTCAGCATCTGACTGATATAGACCTGGAAACTACACTGAACCGTGTGGGAACCAACAACTCAAGGAGAAAAACAGAATCAATTGTCAGAAATCACTTGTTATCTGTTCAAGATTTTGGATTCAAAGCAGGAAAGGTTGCTTGCATTCAACTTTTTCAAACTGAAATAGCTGAGAGCTGCTCTATTGCTTTGATACCAAAAAATTAGAAAAGGACTTTGATTCTGAAATAAAAAGCTTAAAAACACCTTAACAACATATAAGGTACATTAAATTTTCTGTCAAGACAGAAGGTGCAAACTCTTACCTTAATTCTGCAAGTCCTTGATTCCACCTGTTGAGGACCACTTAAGATTTCAAAACAATGAAAAATCAAGTGTAAAAATATAAAAAAGAGGGGAGTTGCCACTCGTCCAAATTATAAGGTGGGACAAGTCACCTAAAACGGGTCTACACAGAGATCGGGGCTCGGGAGTTCGGTTAGGAGTGAGGAAGGGCAAACGCACACCTCACAATCCTTCATACCTCACAATCCTTCATTTAAACACGGTTGCATACTTTAAAATTGGGGTTTTAATTCAACTTATTTATTATGTTTATGTTTGAGTCTTAAAAAGCAAACTTGAAAAAAGAGATAAACCGAATCAAAACATTTTTTTTATTTTTGGACTGAAATAGACAATCAAGAACATGCATGCACAATAAACACAAATAAAAATTAAATGAACTGATTTGATTAAAATAAAAAAATAAAGGACTGATTTGAAAAGGTTTGAAACTTTTGGACTAAAGTGGTTGAACATGAAAGGATTGTGCAAAATTGAAATAAAAGAGATAACTTTTGATTTTTTTTTTTTTAACTTTTTAACCTTTTTAGTTTTTTTTTTTATTGGATTGGGTCGGGTTGATCTAACCCAAAAACACGAACCCACCAACCAAAGTGGGCAAAAACAGATTAAAACCTAGACAAAAATGAAATCTGGACAGAAACAGAAAAGATCTGGATTTTCTGTTCGGCCATCCAACAAAACAGAACAAAGAAAGCAAGTAAACATCCATTCCAATTCGGATCCATGAAATTCAACAAACATGGATGATTTCATTCGCAGTATCATCATCTAGTACAAGTTTAATAAAGCAAAACTCCATGACAATCAGAATCAAACAAGGTGAAATTTCTGAAAAAAACAGATTGAGATTCGAAGGGAGGGATCCCACCCACGTGATCAAGCTCCCTTCTTCTCCCTCACGGCTCTTCCCAAAAATTCCTCTGTTCAGAAATTACCTAAGGCAATGAAACCCAGAAAATGAAACCAGAAAATGAAGCTCCTCTGGAAGCTCGGTGATCCTTCCTCTCAACCACCGTTGTTGCCCCCTTTCTTCTCCAGTAAATCCCCTTCTATTGCTCTCAAAAACTCAGACGAAACTCCCCAACAAAGAGACCCAAAATCAACCAACCATCCCCCTATTACTCTGCTTTTGCCCTATATATATACCCCAAATGACAAAAATAAAAATAAAATGCAACAAAAGACAAGGGCCTTGCTCTGTTAATCAATGATGCCAATTTGTCCGGTACTCCTTGTCTTTTCTGCATGTGAGGCAAGGATGGCGGCTGCAGCAATCAGCGGTGCAGAGGCGCGGGATTGGGGGTGAGGCGCGGTGTGCAGGGAGGCAGGGGCGTGGAGTGCTGATGATGGCTCGGGCGTGCAGGGGCATCATTGCCGGCAGTGGAGCGCAGCAAGGCAAGCAGAGTGCAGGCGATCTGGTGCAGAGCGCAGGAGCTGGTGCAGAGCAAAGCTGGTGCAGGAAGCAAGGCCGAGCGCAGTAGAGTGCAGGCTGGGGCAGAGAGGAGAGGAAGCTGATTCGGTGAACAGAGGCCAGGGGTTCAGAGGGGAGAGTGCAGAGGGGTGTAGGCATGCATGATTGAAGGTGATGGCTGGCAGGGGGCGTTGGCTGGTTTTTGGGAGGGAAGGAAAAGGAGAAAGTCGGGTGAGGAGGAAGAAGGTTCCAGATCCATTTTTTATTTCCCTTCTTTTGTTTTTTTTTTTTTGTTTAGGTTAAATGGGTTTGGGTTTGAGTAATTGTGGTTTTGGGGTTTTGGGTAATTTTTGGTTTTGGGATTTTGGGCTTGGGTAGTTGGTTGGCGTTGGATTTTGGTGGGTTTTGGGTAATTTTTGGTTTTGGGATTTTGGGCTTGGGTAGTTGGTAGGCTTGGGATTTTGGTGGGTTTTGGTTTGGGTTTGATGGGTTTTGGGCTAGACTTTGCATTTCACCCCTCCAACTTTTCATTTTTTCAATTGAGTCTTTTTTCTCATCTTCTTTTCCAATCTTCTTCGTAAAATTTCCTTTTTGCCCCCCCTTTTTTTTTTGAATGAACTTAACAAGTAAAACAAAGACAAAACATATTAGTTAAAATAATAATAAAAATAAAATCCTACTAAAATTTGAGTTATGACACCACCGTTTCTTACTTTGTTGGCAGTGGGAATTTTGCACAAAAAATATCGTATTATACATGTTGACTGCTTGATAAACAAGAAGGAAACTTTTTTGAGCAGCGTTTCAGATCATGAATCAGCAAGACAGATTATTTATTCCATTTACCAACCTCAATGGAGCTATATGTAAAATATATCTCTAAATCTCAATTCTTAACCTGTCGAATTTTGGGCCTCCATGGAAAACTAAACAAAAAATGTCGAAATACACAAATTAACTTATCAATAAATTCAGAGCTATGCAATGAGCAAAAAATGAATAATGAACAAAAGATTTTTTTCTGAAAAAATAAGCATAGGAAAGAATTTCAGGACTCACTGGCTGTGCAACACCTACTGGGAGTATTTTGAACCAGTGATATGATTTAAGAAAGGGAAATTTCAGCAGCCAAGTCTCATGTGTCCCTGAAATGCACAGAATCAATATTTAAATAAAACAATCATGTTAATCAACTTAAAATCAACAAATTTCAGGATAGTAAGGACGAAAGAAAACATTTTGAAAGTAATGCTGCAGAAAATGCCAAAAATTTTCATTTGGTGGCAATTTTAACAGAAAACACTATTGGAACAAAATGATTAGCTGGTACATTTAAGGAACCTGAACTTCCTAGTCTTTAGACGTTAGTCACACCATTTGAGAAAATTATAAGTATGAATCAATAAATTTAGGTTTGATTAAGTAAACTTACCTCAGGCATATTGGAGTCTGCAAATCTATTCCGATGTTCTGATGTTAGGAATGAGGAATGAGGGATAAACTTGTCATGTGCATCATTGCTGTCAATGCTGAGTGTTGAAGCCAATAAAGAATGGCAAAATGCCAAAATAAACAAGTCAACACTATTACCCCACATCTATTAGATTAGATACTAGTTTCCTAACCTTTAATGAGAACTTAGAGATAAAATAGATATATTTTGGTGAAATACAAGTCAATTTAATTCAACAAGCACAATGTGTTAGCCATTGATATCATCTTCTCTTAACAAGACTAAAGTACAAAAGCAATCAGCAGTATCAAAAACATCTGATGTCTTCTTCTTCCTTTCTCATTCAACTTGATATATTCCATACCATAGTTCAGAATTCAGAGGTAAAATAAAAAGCAAAATAAATAAAATAGAAAGAAAAATAATTAAACCACCCATGTCGCTGTTACTTAAGTAAAGAACATGATAGTTCTTATAATACAAAGGCAAGTGGTTGGAGCACTGGATGATTTGCATCAAATTGAGCAACAAAAGCAAAGTACAGACATACATTGTCACTCGAGAATATCAGCAACACTGAATATTTTCCTCTGTCAGTTCTCTTTAGTTAGTTGCTTATATGAATAAGTTTAAGAAGAAATAGATAAGATCAGAAACAGAGTGCAGTCCTCAATGGCTTAATGAGTTGAATATTATGAACTTGTTATCATCAGTGAGACCAACGATCTATCCAAACAAAATTGAAAATGAAATCTTTTTTCATTATTGTTGAAGTTGTACAAAGAATTTAAAAGTTAAATCAAAAGGATCACCCAAGTAATCTTTAACAGGCATACCATAATCAAGATTTCGAATTCATCAAAGCAAGAAAAGTCCCATGCCCACAATTTTTCTAAAAGAAAATAGATGAACAAAATTGAGCTAACAAGGAAATTAATCAGACAAAAAAATAAATTATAATCAAAATCCAAAAACTGTATTATGGAAAAAAATCTATGTACCTTAAAAAACGAAAGCTTGTAGTTATCACACCCTCAAGCTTTACACTTTCTTGTGTTTAGATGCACCGGACATAACTTGGAAGAATCACACTCCGTGTGTTTTCATGCCAAAAACATAATAGCTATTAAATTTAAAGAAAATAATATACAGTATAGAATTTGAAGACTTGGCAGCTTCTATAAACTCTCAGCGGCCCAATCTTTGTCACATCCATAGCGGCCCAATCCCTGTGGCAGCCACCGCGGCCAACTCCACCTTGCATGAATAACCAAGTTTCATCAAACTTGCAAGCGTATGTTGTGAATCCATTACACCCAACGGTTTAGGTTTGAGAAATTAAACATACCTCATTCTCCCAATCCGGATTGGGGATGTGGGAAATCTTGGCCCATTCGGGGCCGCTCTCTTTGGCGCATCTTTCTTCTAGCTTCGGACAGGACGAAATGTGAAGATGTTGTAAGTAGGAGAGGCGTCGCATGGCTTCAATAGAAGGCAGATGAGTCAAATTAGAGCAATTCCTAATCTCCAGCCTGTGAAGAGAAGAGAGGTCTCCCAACCACTCTGGCAAAGCTTCCAGGCTACTAAAGTTCTCTAACTTCAATTGCTTGAGGGCAGTGAGATGTTGAAGCTGATGTGGCAGAGACTTTAGTTTATCCCATCCATTCAATTCCAATTCTTCAAGGGAGGCGTGGAGTTGATGAATGGAAGTTAGTCCAGGAAATTCCTCCAACTCCGACCAGAAACCACCTATCGATAACTGCTTCAAGTTAGTGAGTCTACCCACGCACTCCTCTGGAATGCTCCTCAGCTTTCCACAATTACAGATCTCTAGCTGATTGAGTGAATGTAATTCCCCAATATCTTCAGTAATTGAAATTATATTATGACAATCCTGAATTCTCAATTTCTGAAGAGAAGTACAGGATCCCAGCCCAATTGGTAGGCCAGTTAATTCATCACAATTAGAAAGCTCAAGCAGTGCAAGAGATGTGAGCCCATTCATATTTGGAATGGAAGACAGTTTTCGGCATTTATCAATTCCCAGCCACTCAAGAGAAATGCAGGATCCCAATCCACTTGGTAAACTCATTAATTCATCACAATTAAAAAGGAAAAGCCTTCTAAGAGATGCGAGCCCATTTATATTTGGAATGGAAGACAGTTTTCGGCATTCATCAATGTCCAGCAACCAGAGAGAAGTGCAGGATCCCAGTCCACTTGGTAGACTTACTAATTCATCACAATTAAAAAGATTAAGACTTGCAAGAGATGTCAGCCCATTTATACTTGGAATGGAAGATAGTTTTTGACATCCACCAATACACAACTTCTGAAGAGAAGTGCAGGATCCCAATCCACTTGGTAGACTCATTAATTCATCACAATTAGAAAGCTGAAGACTTGTAAGAGATGTGAACCCATTTATACTTGGAATGAAAGATAGTTTTCGGCATTGATCAATTATCAACTCCTGAAGAGATGTGCACGATCCCAATCCACTTGGTAGACTCATTAATTCATCACAATTAGAAATCTGAAGACTTGTAAGAGATGTGAACCCATTTACACTTGGAATGAAAGATAGTTTTCGGCATTGATCAATTATCAACTCCTGAAGAGATGAGAGCCCATCCATATTTGGTATAGCCATCAAATTGTCACAATTGCTTATTTTCAAAGCAGACAGCTTATGATTAGATGAAAATCCATCCATCAACCAAGTCTTCAATCTATAACAATAATTAATTTCCAACCTCTCAAGACATGGAAACGCGGTCACGCCTTCTACTTCTACCCATTTCTCAAGGCTTTTCATATCTAGTACTCTGAATTCTCTTAAAGCTGGGAATTGTGTAGCCAATTGTACTCCATCATCACTGTTGCTTTGATCCACATAGAACTTGCTACCCATGCTTTTTACTTTATTTAGCTTAAATATTTCAAGAAACTGGAGATTACGCAATAGACTAAGGCGCGGAAGATATAAGCATTCATCACAACAGCTTAGCTGCAACTCCCTTAAGTTGTTGAGTGAACCATTGACACCACCCTGCATCCATGACGGGAAGTTCTTTCCCTGGTACAACACAATAACTAAGCTCTCTAAATTTGGGTGAGGTTGAAGACCTTCTAGAACCTCTTCATCATTGATGTTATTGTTGGCTCTTCTCCATGGACACCATCTAAATTCCAACCCCTGCAATTTTCTCTTTTCTTTTAATTCTGCTTTAGAGGCTTCTAATTTGGACCCTACATATTCAAGTTGCTGAATGTCCAATTTCCCTCGCAGTTGGCTTAAGCATTCAAGTTCTTCTATTCTATATCCCTTTTCTGCTCCCACGACGAATAGTTGTAATGTTTGAAGGGAAGTCAAGTGCCCAATCTCCTTTGGCATATCCTGTCCATCGAAATAAAGATGCCTCAAGCTAACCAGATTCTTCATATCATTAGGGAGTTTCTGAAGATAATGGCACCTCATGAGTCTTAAAGTCTGCAATTTGAAGAGCTTAGTGAAGGATTTCGGCAGGACTCCGTAACTAGTTCTTGAGATGTCAAAGTATCTCAAATGCTTCAATTTACCTAAAGAATTTGGTAAATCTTTTCTGTCATCTCCTCTTAAGTTTAAAGATCGCAAGCTTTGCAAATCAGATGCCATGCTTTGGAAAGCATGAACACTTGAGAACAAAGAATGCAACCCTTTTAGAACGGCTCCTGGAATGGTTGGACACACATTCCCCCCAGACTTAATTCTCAAGTGTCGAACATTAGAATTCTCAACAATATTGCAACCAGACTCCTCCCAAATCAAAACTTCACCTTTTGAGACAAACAGTGCAAGATCATGCACTGCATCATGCATCTTGCAAGATTTAATATTCCCATATGTATCCATTTCCACGTCTTGAAATAAGGAATTGGCTAACAAGTGATTAAAATAGTCATTACCAATATCCTCCATTGTGTTGCAGCTTTCATTAGATTGTTGAAGAAATCCAACGGCCATCCAGAGTTGAACTAAGTCATCTTTTTCAATGGCAAAATCCTTTGGAAAAATTGCACAGTAAGAAAAACATTTCTTTAAAGGAGAAGGTAAGCGATCAAAACTTATTTTCAATATAGGCAAAATCTCATCTCCAGCCCCTGAATTAAATTTCCAAGCTTCATCATTTTTGATAGCCTCCCACGTATCTGCATTGGCTTGACGACTTAATGTCCCTCCGATGACACTTGCAATTAATGGTGAACCCCCACATCTTTTTGCAATGTCCTGTCCAATAGCTTCCAAATCTGGAGGCATCGAAGTAGTTCCTATGGATGATCTGAGAAGCTTCTCCTTGATTATCAACCAACATTCATTATCTGATAGCCCCTGCATTTTATAGCTTTGCATAGGAATTGACTCCATCACAGATGCTACCTTTCCACTGCGAGTTGTTGTAACAATAGAGCTCCCATTTGTTTTTAGAATTTTTGACAAACAAGAGCTGAAAGAATCCCACTTTGTAGGATCTTCATTCCATACATCATCTAGAATGAGAAGAAAAGTTTTCTTCTCTAATACTTCGGCAAGACATTCAAGCAATGCATTCCTACTATTCCTTGGAGCAGCACCACGACTAAAATGCTCGAACATCTCTGCCAAAATGATTTGATCATTGAAGTCCTCAGATACACACACCCAGGCCATTAGATCGTAGAGCTTTTCTTCAGTTGCTTTCCTGTACAGTGATCTTGCTACTGTTGTCTTTCCAACCCCAGCCATACCTACTATGGAAATGCCAGAGATGAAATGTTGACTGCTCCTCAAGTCAAGCAACAAGCTGACTATTCTTGAGACATCATCTTCCCTTCCAAATACTACGGTATCAAGAAAGGAGTCTGTCTTTGGATACTGCATTGAAAAAGTTTGGCCTCTGTATGTGACCACCAGATTGACCATGGCAGCCCAGTCTTTCAAATGGCACAACTCCTCAGTAATCTTCTTGATTTTGTCAGTCATATGAACTCGAAACTTTGCAGAAAAGAAGATGAATGCAGGATTCCAGTGCCACCCACTCTTAACTTTGTCCTTAAGAACCTTGTACTCACACTCATCCAGAACATCCACGGCCTCATAAGCTATGTCTTGGAGCTTCTGTAGCCAACGCCTTATAGCAGGATCACTTTCTTGTCTTTCCTCTGCGTGTTGGATGACAGATTGAATGAGAGCGAGAGAATCCGCAAGCCTATCAAGCTCCTTCTCTAAACCCAGTGCATTCCCAATTCGTTCCATAAAAAACGAAAACATTTTGGAAATTGCCACCTCAATGACAGGGCTGAGGAATGTGAGGGCGATTCTAGCCATTATGCTTGACAAAGGAAAAGACTGCAGACAGAATTGAATAATGAATAAACGTGCAGAATAGTGTTATATATGAGAGCAGAGATGATGAAATGAAATGAAGATGAAGATTCTGCGCAAACTTCACTGAGAAACTAAAACTTACAAAAATGATAATCTGTTTTTTAACTGATTTCTCCTTTCCAAATCTAATCAAACAGAGGAAGAACCTGTAAATTCATTAGGAATTCATAAGATGCAGCGTCAGAACAACTGGAGAAAAAAAGAACAAATTAAATTGAGACTCAAGAAATTAAATGTTTTCAACTAGGTATTAATGAAATTAATGTTTCATTTTTGGAGCCATAGAACATGTTACGTGTGTATATTCTTCTGATCGGAAAAGTAGAAGAGATAAATAACACATAAATAAGCCTAATTCCTTTTGTAACAGCCATGTCCTAGATTGCATAATAGAATGAATAATAATTGATATACTTTTTAATTTAATATATTTTTTTCATAATATAATTATTAAAAAATTATTATTTTTAAATTTGAATTTAAAATAAAAAAGATTTTACTTATAAAATTTGATGACTAAACTAATGAGTATTATTATATATGTTAAAATGGAGAGTGTATTGATCATTGTTCTACTAAAATAAGATATAATGTAATTAAAGGTGAAAGTTAACTAGTTATATGGTTAAATTTAGGAATGTTAAATTTAAGGTGCGCACAATTTTATTGACATGTAAATACGCTCTTTGGAATGCACTGTACTCTATATATATCTTACACATGCTGTTGCTCGTGCATGCAAAATTCATTGATTGAAGTTTAGGTGCAAAATGGAATGATGATGAACTATGCGCGAAATGTAATTTGACAAACTTACGGAAATAGTATGATTTTTTTTTTATTCACTGGTTTCTCCTTTCCGATTGTAATTAACTAGAGGAACACCTGCAAATTCATCATCGATACATAAGTACTAGAACAACTGAAAAAAACAGTTACGTAAAACACAAAAAATTATAAATGTTTTGTATTAGGTATCAAATTAATGTTGTATATTTGGAACCACATATATATATATATAACATATATATAATTCTTTAACTGGAAAAAATAATACAGATAATACTGCAAATTGAGAAACAACACACATATACGTGTATTGTGCGTGGAAAAGTGTGCCTTAATCCTCACTCTTTAAAAGTAGACAAATTGGTATAGGTTAAGCAATTTTAAGAATCTTCCATAATAATTTTTGCCTCTTACCTTATCCCTATATACAATATCTAAAATAGACAAATTTCGATAACCCAAACTCAAAGTCAGCATACTCCAAAGTCAAAAAGATAAAAAAACCAGAGGAAAAGATGATATCTTCTCTGCGGTGAAACAAGAGTTACAAGACAACAGTTGTGAAATGGTTTCGTGCTTCCATACAAATATGGTTCCATCCTTTTCCTCTTTATTTTACTTTTTATTTTTTTATTTCTATTTCTTTCTCTATCTTATTTTTTATTTTTTTATTTCTATTTCTTTCTCTATCTTATTTTTTATTTTTTTATTTCTATTTCTTTCTCTATCCCATTCCCGTCACCTAAATATAATACTATATAAATATACTGAACTTTACAGGGCGCGGTTTATTTGTATTATATTTTTTTAATCATGATTATTAAAAATAATAATATTAATTTATTATTAAAATTAATTTTTAATTAATAAATATAAAATTATCTTAAATATATATTAATTTATTACAAATATATACATTTAATTTTCATATTAATTAAAATTTTTTGAGATAAACATAATAAATTTGTTTATTAAATCTTCATTAATTTCTTTTATTTTTGAATCTATAATTTTTTTATCAACATTTGAATCAGCAACTATCACTATTATAATATATTTTTATCACAATTTGTCGCTTTTCTCAAAATGCATATATTAAAAGGTTTTAAGTCAAAATATAAAAAATATAACTCATTAGTATTATTTATTAATTCTTTTGGCACATTTTCATTACCTATACTCCATCAATTTTATTCTTTTGGTACCTTTTTTCATTACCTACTCTTTCATTAATTTTTCTTATAATACTCTCTTAGTTTATGCTCACACATGTATTTTATTATTAGATTTACCTATCTACCTATTTGCTCTCAC